GCGCACCAGGCCGCGCGCCCCCCCCCACACAAAAACGAACCCGCCGCCGCCGCCGCCGCGCTCGGGCCGGCTCGCCGGGCGGCCCCGGAGCCAACGGGCGGGAGAAAGGAGAGGAGCGGGGCCGCGTCCGAGAGTCCGGCCGGGTCCGAGTGTCCGTCCGGCCGCGGCCGCCGCGCGCCAGGCCCGTGAGCGGTGACGCGGAGCGCGCGCGGGGGACGCGCCGACGGCAGCGCGCGCGCGCGGGAGGGGACGGCGGGCGGGGGTGACGCACACGCGGCACGTACGAGGGCCCGGCGCGGCCGCTAGGGGGCGCGCTGCTCCCCCCCGCAGCCCTCATGAGGGCGGGAGAGGGCGGGGTTCGGCTCTGAGTGACGGGTGCGGCAGCCAATGGGGTTTTGAGGTGAGGGGAAAGGAAGGGGGGTGCGCGCCCCGCCCGCCCGACTGCACGCGGTGGGAAGGGACGGGGTTTGGCCATGAGTGATGGGTGTGGCGGCCAATGGACTATCGAGATAAGGGTTAAGAGGGAGCTCGGGAGTGTCCAGAGCCGCCTGGCGAGAGGGGATGCGCTCAAACACACACGGGGAGGGGCGGTTCTGATTCTGAGTGACAGGTAAAACAGCCAATGAGGGGGAGAGGGCGGGGTGCGCATACGTTTATGCGAATGGCGGTAGGCGGGGTTTATCTCTTAGAGACGGATCTGGCAGCCAATGGGTTTTGAGGTTACGTGATGGGCGAGGTCTGGCTCTGAGTGACGGCTGTGGCAGCCAATGGGACATCGAGATGAGGGGCGGGGGCTTTGGGGGCTGAGGTTGTGGAGAGGTCACTGGGATGTATGTGCTGGCGTTGGACCCTTGTGAGGGGATGGAGTGGTGGACAGGTCACTCTGAGGGGATGTGGTGGCGCTGGACACTTGTGAGGGGATGGAGTGGTGGACAGGTCACTCTGAGGAGATGTGCTGGCGTTGGACCCTTGTGAGGGGATGGAGTGGTGGACAGGTCACTCTGAGGGGATGTGGTGGCTCTGGACATTTGGGAGGGGATGGAGGGGCTGAGGTGGTCAACAGGTCACTTTGAGGGGATGTGGTGGCTCTGGACACTTGTGAGGGGATGGAGTGATGGACAGGTCACTCTGAGGGAGATGTGGTGGCTCTGGACACTTGTGAGGGGATGGAGTGGTGGACAGGTCACTCTGAGGGGATGTGGTGGCTCTGGACACTTGTGAGGGGATGGAGTGATGGACAGGTCAAACGGAGGGAGATGTGGGGGCTCTGGACTCTTGTGAGGGGATGGAGTGGTGGACAGGTCCCTCTGAGGGGATGTGGTGGCTCTGGACACTTGTGAGGGGCTGAGGTGATGGACAGGTCACTCTGAGGGGATGTGGTGGCGCTGGACACTTGTGAGGGGCTGGGGTCTGTGGTGGGTGACCCTGTGGTGACAATGGGGTCACTCCATGCCCTGTGCCCACCCTGAGCTGCCAGCTCTGCCTGTTCCTGTTGGAAGTGACAGGAGGGACACGGGGGGTTAAGTGGGAATTAAGGGTTGGGAATTACAGTAATACCTGCTCCAGCTGTAATTCCTGTTACACCTGTAATAGCCCTGAGTGAGAGCTGAGCTGCTCTGAGCGTGCTGGACTGGGGATTTTCTGAGGTCAGGGTTGTGCAGAGAAGGGAGCACCACATTTCTACCTTTAAATAAACAAAAAACTTAGGGTTTACCCTCATTCCATTCCATCAGCTCACAATAAATTCCCTTTTAAGAGAACTTCTGTGTGTTGGGAAAGGCTGGATATTCACTCCCTCTTCTCTACCACGTTAAGATGCAAATGTGTATCTTTTCTTATAAATAACTTTGATTTTATATTCTTGCTTTGGCGTAGGATAAAGCCTTACCTGAAACAACATGGACCAGATCTGCAGCTGGTGGGGTGAAAAGATGGAGATTGGAAAACATCCTTGTCCTGGGAATATTGTGCAGCAAAAGGAGGGGAAAAAAACAAGTCCAGAGAACACAGGAGTCACCACTTCTGCAGAGAGAGTGAACTAATCTTATTTTTAAGCTTTTGAATAGAATAAACTGTTCAGACCAAAGCGTAACGGGGAGAGAGCGTGAAATAACATTTGAGGATGAAAGTGGAACCGGAGGGGAGGAAAAAAAAAAGTACAAAGCCAGGTGGCTGCTTGCTGCGAACACTTTTATTTATTAATAAACACAACAGACTCCAAACATTTGGCTGCTTGACAGAATCCTCAGAAGTCTTGGAAAGGGATCAAAGTTCTGCTGCTCTGCCGGGTGCACAACTCAGGGAATAACGGTGCCTTTATGGACGAGTGTGGAAAACTCCCTCCTGTGCCAGGAGGAGGTGGATTTGTCCCCGAGGGTGGCGTTGGGGACACTTTGGTGCTGCTGTCTGAGGTGCTGAAGCTGCAGATCCCCCAGAAGGAACTGGAAAAGCAACTGGAGAAACCAAACTGGTTGTTACTGGTGCTGTGTTTGAACTGGACGCTGAGATTCTCTTTATACCAACGCAGAGCAGAGGCATTTGAATTTCGGGGTAATTCTGCTCCACTGCAGCTGGGAGCTCTGGGGGTGACTTTTAAGGGTAAAATGGATCCACACCCAGGCTCTAGAGCTCTCAGACTGGATTTTTTTTGTGTGTTTTGTGTGAGTTTTCTCCCTCAAATCCGGGCTGCTGCGGAGGGAAGGCGCCGTGACTCACTGGGCTCGACTGTGCAGCCAGTATGGAATTGAAAAAGGCAAAAGCTGGCACAATTCCCTGCAAACGGTGCTGAGTTTCCCATTTCCCTGCAGATCAGAAGCTGGAATTCACGGGCCAGAACCACAAGAAGAGAAGAAACGCGCGTGAATTAATATTTCAAACAACGTTTTCTGCTTCCAGGAGGTGAAAATGTGCAGGTGATTATCCCCAGGTGCTGGTGAGGAGTGACAAACCAGAGCAGTTGGAAGTGCTGGGAGAAATCCCAGCCCTGGGAATAAGGAGAGGCCTTTCCTTGAACCTGATTTGAATTCCAAAGCCCTGCAGCTCTGGGATTTGCTGGCATCCTCCTCCTCCTCCTCCTCTCGGGGCTCTGAGGGGAAGGCAGGGATGGGATTGGTCTCCAGGAATTCCCAGCCATGGAGATAAGGCTGGAATGGCTCCGTGACGTGAGGGGGGCACAGCCAATGGAGCCCGGCCTGGCCAAAACGGGGGGAAAAATGGGATATTTTTATCCTGGGATGAAACATTTCTGGTTAGGGGGATGTGAGGGTGGAGCAGGGATCAGGTGGGGAGGGAAGCTCCCACCCAGAGCAATAAATGCGCCCCATTCATTAAGCAAATTAATCACTTTATTTCCCCCCTGCTCTGTTTTTTAATTAAGTTTTTATTTTTTAATTTAAAAATTTGTAGTTAAACATTAATATTAAATATTAAAAGAAAAATATTTATTTAAAATTTGTTTATTATATTTTGATTTGATTCTCCTGGAGCTCAGAGTGTTTAAAAATCATTTTTAGGTGGAATTTTAGGGTGGTTTGGGTTAGAAGGACCTTGAATCCTATCCATTCCCATGGGCAGGGACAATTCCCACTATCCCAGGTGGTTCCAACCCCATCCAAGCTGTCCTTGGACAATTCCAGGGATGGGGAATCCACACCCATCTGCTCCAGTGCCTTTTATAACAAAGAATTTCATCCAAATTCTCATTTTCTTCATTTTCTGTCTACCTCTGGTTTTTGCCTTTTTCTTCCATTTTGCCTTAAAACAAATCCTAAATTAAAATCCCTTAAAATTTTGCTTATTTCACCAGACCTCAATACCAATAAATGAAAGAACAACAAAAAAATCTGTTTTTTTAAAAATAAATTGAAACAAAATTTAAAAATTATATAAAAAATAATCTCTGATGCTGACAAAATTCCAATAAAATAATTTTTATTATTATTAATATTTTTTTTTAAATCCACGGAGGGGAAAAAAAATTGGGAATTAATTTTTCCAGTGCAGCTGGGCCATTTCTCCTGAGTTACCACGAGAGGGACACAGAAGGAAAGCTAAAGGAGCTGGGAAAGAAAGAAAGAATCCAAGGAAAGAATCGAGGTGGGCTCAGAGCAACACATTTCCCTTTTGTTTGGGAATTTCCGGGATCACAGCGTTCCTAAGGCTCCCTCCATCCCATAAAATCCTAAAAAATCTTCACAGGTAATGGGCTAAGAAATGAAATAGCTAAAAATGGGTTATTTCCCCCCAGAATTTCCTCATTTTCCCTCAGCTTTTTCCCTTTAGAATGTCAGGACAGGGAGAGGTTGAGCTGGCTGGGATTTTGTTCCATCCCGAGCTCCTGGAGCAACAAATCCCGCAGGATTTTGTGGGTTTTGGGGAGGTATTTTTGTTTATTCCCAGTGAATTTTGGTTTGTGGAGGTTGGGGAGATATTTCTGTTTATTCCCAGGGAATTGTCACTAATTAACAGCTGATGATGGAAATGCCAGGAAGTCCCAGATCCCATAAAATTCCTGCATGGAACAAAGGCCCCATAAAACCCCTGAAGTAAATATTGAATATTTAGTGGGCTCCTGTGGAATTAAAAATTCCAGTCCTGAATTGCCCTGGACTGGAATTAATGCAGAGTGGATTTTTAGGGATCTGCAGTGGATTCATCCTAAATGTCAGCAAAGCTTCACTTCCAGCTGGGCAGGCTGGGATTGGGATAAAAATGCTGGGAAAGAGAAAAATGGGAGGGAAAAAACCTTATTTTTAAAAAATTATAACTATATCAACTTCAGTCTTACATTTCTGTGGCGTCATTTTAACATCACATTGAAAAGTGCATTGAGTGCTGGGACACTGAGTGGTCATTTTAATATTTATATGTATTTCTATATTTCTATATTTATAAAACTATTTGTACTTTTATACTGTTATATTTCTAATTTTTATTTTTACATTATTGTATTTTTCTATTTATTTCTATAATTTTATAATTTAATCTTTTTCTATTTATTTTTTCTATTTTTTTTACCAAGCCCTTCAATGTCCACAATGTTTTCACAAGCTAAAAACATCTCCAAAAAAAAGTTATTAAATAAATGTAAGAATTTCTTTAAGGTGTCAGAAATTTTAGTGCAACAAGAAATGCAAACCCAGCTCTGATTTCAGTGGAAAAAATTCACAGAAAAGGGTTTTTCCTCATGATTATTTTTGCTTTTATCCTTCAGCAAATTGTGATAAATCTGATTAATTCTGATTTACCTGCAGGTTTAATTGTGGGTATAGAAATATTCCCAGAGCAAGTCACGAGGATGTAACTCCATGAAGGAAAAGGAGGAGAAGATTTGGGCCAAAATCCACGGATTTGGAATGAAGAAAGTTCTTAGAAATTAAGGATGGTGAGTGACATTAAAAGATAACAGATAATAAAAGAGTACAGATAATAAAAGAAAACAGCAGGAGATGGAAAGCAGGAAATGAAACTTGGTGCTCCAAACCAGCTCCAAATGGGCACTAAAAACAAATAAAATAAAAATAAAAAGATAAAAATTCCAATAGATTGGAATTTAATATATAAATTAAGGATTAAAAATTCTGTGTTTCAGCAGGAAACTTGAAATCCTTCCCTCCAAAAATGTGTTAAAACTCCCTTTCCTTGGAAAGAGCTGAAACAGGATCTGGATTCAAGGAATTAATGTAGGGAAAAAATAGCTTTTTATGGACAGAACTTGTGGCTTTTGTAGGTTTTTAGCTGCAGAATCACCATGTGAAGTTAAAACTCACTGGGAAAAAGACAAGAGTTTCCTAAAATCCAAGGGAAAAACCGCTGGGATTCCTGGATTTATTGGAGGAGATCTTTGGGAGGATCTGCTCCCTGTTAAAGCTGCCCCTGGAAGGAGCAGAGCTCTTCAAAATCCTCAATTTCCAAAGGGGCATCGACAGCTCTTGGGAAAAAAAAAAACCAAAATAAAAATGGGATTTCTCCAAAGCAGATGTTGTTGGAGCTGAGCTTAAAAACAAAATTTGGAGCTCTTGATGGGCTCCAAAGTGTTTGTTGGGATTCCTGGCAGCTTTCCTGGGCAGATGGAGGTGATTGTGGAGTAATGGAAAATCCAGGCTTCCCACGGGGCTGGGATGTCTGTGTGGAGCTGGTGATCCTCCCCAAAAAGAGAGGAAAACGGGGAATTTTCACGTTATCCCTTGGAAATTTGGGAATGTGTGGACTTCCAGCAGGTTTTTGCTGTGGTGGAATCAGCTGGTTCCTCCTCAGATTGTTGCTGATCCAGGTTTTTAGTATGGAATTGAGATGTAATTTTTATTTTTTTTTTTAAGTTTGGTTTTTAATCTTGGGGCAGGCAGAACACCTGGGGTTAAACCTGAGGTTTCAAAGGAAAAAAAAATCACTTAAAAATCAGGAATTTTGGAGTCCCACCCTGGCTTTTTCCATGCTTTTGGTGTAAGGGAATAACACATTTACATTCCCTGCAGAGAAAAGAAATCCTCCCAAGGAAATCCTTCTTTCCTGCTGTGGGAGAAATCTTAATTGGGCTCTTAATGATGAAATAATGGAAGGAATGGATAATTGGGGTCTGGCTGAGTGTCCCAACACCTGCAAGGTATGTTTGGCCACACCAGGACTTCCAGGAGGGCTCCAGGACCAAACACCCTCACCCCAAAAAACCCAGAAAACGGGAAAATTTCGTTTTCTCCCCTCCATCCCTGAAGACTTTTCCTCTTCAGTCCCTTTTGATGTTAAATTTGCCAGCTTGGCCTTATCTTTTCCTTGCAAACACTCCGAGTTTGGAAAACAAGGAGTGTAAAAGTCATTCATGCTCCCGCAGCTGGAGGAAAAGCCGGTGATGTTTCCATCGAGCTGAGGCTTCTTTTTCATTTATTCTTGAATAAAAATCAAACAGAACCGGGGGAACCCAAAAGCTTTGGGTGTTGCAGTTGTTCTGCCGTCGCGGGGCCTCGCGAGGAGCTGTGTTTGTCACGTCCTGGGGGATGGTTTTAGGAAGGGCGAGGAATGTTTTCCTTGCGGAATTTTGTGGATTTCAGGAGGAGCCCAGCCAGGGCTGCCCTCAGGCCGTGAATGGTCCCAGTGTAGTTTCGTGAGGCCTTCCCAGAAGTCAGGAGTTCCTTGGGAACGAACCCAGGAACGTCATCAAAGAGCCTGGGGCAAGATCAAGGGGGCTGTGGGCTCCCGGATTTTCCCACATTCCCAAAGGGGAACATTCCCATTCCACCATGGCACCAACACCCTCAAACAGAGAGATCCTTAAACTCTGCTCTCCCCCTCCGTGCTGGGGAGGTTCCTCCTCATCCCACCGATGCTCAGGAGGCTCCCAGGAGCTCCCTTTGCCGAGGAATTTTCACTTTTCCCTTCTCCCATGTGCTTCCAGAGCCTCGGGAAGGATCCTCCCACCCCAAAGTGCCGCTGGGTCCCGTCACGGCCTCAGATCGTGATGGAAACACCTCAGGACCTTCCCTGGCTGCTCTCCCTGGCTGCTCTGGGCTCCTCCATGTGCTTTCCCACCGGGAAAGGCAGCCAGCTGGACAGGGAATAACCACCGGGAAGGGCCTGGAAGAGCCACGGGAATTCAGAGATAAGGAGATTTTCCACGCTGTTCCCCCCAGAATCACCAGCAGGGTCGGTTAGGAAGTTACCTCTGTTTTGAACCTGTGAATACACAAACATAGACTTTCCTCCAAATTATTAATTGAAATGACTTTTTAATCTTCTTGCTTCTAAACCTTTGACCAGAACCAAAGAATTCTGTCTCAGCTTTGCTTGAGTACTGTTAGAAGAATACCTGGTAATTGATGGAACTGGCTTAGTGAAAGACTTGTTTAAAAAGGGCTGTTCAGGAATTATTTGTAATAGATATACAATCTTTGCGTTTTTTCCAAAATCTAAAATGCATTCATCGTGTTTCCATGCTTCTGAACTGCAACCTCTTTTTCCTCCCCCTCTCTTGTAAACAAAGGTAAAACATCCGCTGTCTTGTTCTGACAATGAAAAACCATCAAAGTAAAAGACATGCATATGTATACATACAGGAAATAACATTTTTACAGAAATCAAAAACTTATTAGGAACAAAAACTTATTAATTCGCATTCCAGAGGCGGCCACAGGTGCTGGGATGGAATTCCTGGGTTCTGAGCGAGGCCTGTGGCAGCGCAGCAAACCCACGGAGGAGTCTGGAAACTCTGACCTGGGGCTGCTTTTGCTAAAAACGGCACCACCAGCCTGGATTTAAGAGCAAACACAAGTTTGCAAACGGCTTCTGGAGCCTGCTCCAGAAATCCATGAGCCTGATGTCATGTGGAGAGGGCCCAAAACAGAATTGTTTTTATGGGGTTGTTAGCAAATGTTATTAAAAAAATTGAAATGTTCAGTTGGAATTTTTTTTTTTTTTTAAATTTTGGCTATAGGACGGGGGCAGAGCAAAAAGTCCTGGGGTGGATGTGGACAAGACATTCCAGTTTTAGGCCACCCTTCCTGGCTCCAGATGAGAGCAGAAGAGGGGATTGCAAAAGGGGATGTGAGGGAGGTCTGGAGAGCAATAATTTTAACCAGCACTTCAGCCATGATGTCATTTCAGCTGAAAAATAATGTTGGAGTTTGGGCAAGAGGAGCCAGGCTGGGGAGGAACTGCAGCAAAATGGAAAGTCAGGATGGAAAACCAAATCAGAATAACCCTGAGGAAAGTGGGATAAAAATCCTGGAATTTTCTGTGAGCCTGAGGGCTTGAAGGAAGCAGAGGAAGATGTTAAAACCCTGGGCAGGGTTTTCACTCTTCTCTCTGGGGGTCAGAAACCAAATCTTGGGGGAGCTGGAGCACAGGGACAGCCTGAAGGATTGTGGTGACCCCAGACTGCGATCCCAGAGCGATCCCGAGCTCTTCTCCCGGGATTTAACCCAAATCCAGCCAAAATCCGCATCCACCTCCTCTCCTGAGGAGGCCAAAGGGCTGAAACGACCAAGGGACGTTGTTCCAGCAGATCTGGACATCAAAAATTCCATCTAGAAAGTGCTTTGTGGGGTCTCTCCCCCGTGGGCTGAAGTGCAGGATCACCCTCAGGCCCAGCTGTGGGATCAGCCCTTTTCCCTGGAGTTTTCAATGAATTCCCACAATTTGGCCATAAAAAGCTGAGCCTTGGATAAAACCTCACACATTTTGTCCCTTTTTTTTGTGTTCCCTGTTCCAGCACAAACCTCAGCTGGGGAAAAATCCCAACAAAGCGAGCAGAGGCAGGGGCACCTGCAGCTGGAAATGACAAAAAGCTCCTGTTTTAGGAGGAGATTTAGGACTTGGATCTCCCCAGGAACAACTTCTCTTCCCGCTGTGTTGGGAGCCAGGAATGAGCTCAGGCTGTGAGATCAGATTTTGCTGAGTCTACAGACTTGAGCTTGTTCATTCCTCTTTTCCAGAAGTTCCCCTCTCCCAGCCATGCCTGGATATTTGATTTCCTTGGGAAATCTCGGCCCTCTCAGCAGCTTTTTGCTGCCTTTTGTGTCCGGGACGCTCAACCCTGCCAGCAGAAAAGTTGCTTTTGTCATTCCCATTTCTCCACCTGAGGCATGGGGTTCCTGGAATTGTGCGAGCTTTTCCTGGAAGAAGTGGTGGAGGCCGGAATGGCTTGTGCAGAAAGCACTCCAAGGCTGAAAAGATGTCCAGGAGGCAGCTGGAATTTAGGGAGAGCTCTTGGAATTGTCTCTCCTGGTGGGTATTTCTGCGGCTGTCGATGTCACACCCAACGTGCTCTGGCTCCAGGGGAAGTGCAAGAAGCTGACCCTGTGCTGGCCAAAAGGAGTTGGAATTTTATGGAGGGAACGCTGCAGAAACGCAGAGGATTGATCTGCTTTCCATCTGGAATTAAAATTAAAGGAATCTGGGACCACGGCAATCAGGCCAAATATGTGCCCTTGCAATTTTTGGGTGGGAAGAGCAGTTCAGAAGAAGCAAGGACTGACTCTGGATCTCTCCACAGCCCATGATCCTGAAGATTATTATGGAAAAAGAGCAGCTTTGCCCTTGAGGCTGTTTTTCAGCTCTGGGTGGGGTCGGGAGAAGGCACTGCCAGCGCTCTCCAGAGCCAGATCGTTCCTGGGAGACTTGTGGGGCTGAGATTTTTCTGGAAAACTCCAGAGGTTTGGATCAGTCTCCATCCTCCTTCTTTCTGGAGAGCTTCCCATCCCTTGTGAGCCTGCTCACGCCGTTTTTCCATTCCTCTGGAAGTGACAAAAAACCCCAAAACAAGCCCAGAGCCTGGATGATGCTGAATTTTCCTCTGAGCTCATCGAGGATGTCCAAAGCAGCACCAATTGCAGATGGGGCCAAGAATCTGTAATGTCTCAAAGCTGAGCAAAATAAAACGCGTGATAAGGGCAGCTGAGGGGGTGGCAGCCAGGAAAAAGATGGATTTGGGAGCCAGTGGTTGTCCCAAAAGCCATGAGAGGGTAAAATGAGCATTTCCACATTTCCATTTCCTGTTTGTTTGAACCTCTTCAATGAATTGGTTTTATTGATATTTGTTAATTAAACTTCAGGATGGAGCTGCAGCTCCAGACTGAGAAGGTTCTCCTGCATGGAAGTGTTTCCCACTGTTCCCCAGGTTTTTATTTCTGGGAAATTCCTCTCTCTTTTTTATTTGGAAATTTATCTTTTCATTGGAAGAAATGTTTCTTCGGAGAGAGAAAAAGTTCTCCCTGTCCTTCCCCACGCCCAGAGCATCTCTGTGGGTTCATCCTGGTCACAGCCAGGACCATCCTTGCTGGAAAACCTCTGGAAAACCTCAGGAGATCCCTGGGAAGGGGACGCAGGGTGAGGAACTGACACACCAGGGTCTGTCCAAGGAATTAGAAGCAGTTTTTGGGAAGGAAACTTCCTTCTGGTTTGCTGGGGATGAAATAGGAGCTGAAAAGGGGGGGACAGGTAAAAATGATGGAGCAAAAAGCTCTGCTCCAGCACCCCCAGAAGAGGAGGAATTTTGTAATAAATCCATTTTCTTATTCAACATTCTCATTTTGCCTAAGGATAACGAGACCACTTCAAAGGACAACATGGAAAATTTCCTCTATCCCTCTTTTCTTTGTGCTCTTCACAAACCTCCCGATTCCACAGCAAAAAAAACCCAAAACCCCACCTATCCTGGAGAATTCTCACTGTAATTCAGAAAGGTTTTTTTCCCCATTTTTCTATACAAGAAAAAAACCCTTTTTCCTCACACAAGTGTTAAATGACTCCTATTAAAACCAAATCTAAGCGAATTTAAGTGAATTTAATCTCTTCCTGAGACGAGACAGAGAATATTACATTCAATAACCAATTTATCTCCCCCCCTTTTTCTCTGTCCCACTCGGCATTTCCAGTTGGGAGAAAGGGAATTAACACAAAGTGATCGATCCTTTTCTTCCTCTCCTTACAACTTAAATCTCATTTCCAGCAGGGAAAAGGTTTCTGTCTCCTGCCAAGAGCTGGCTGCAAAATCCTTTGTACAGAGCACCTCTTTGATCACTGGTGTCCTGAAAAGACCCGATCGCTGCCTCTGCTGCTTTCCAGCTGTTCAATTATCCCACATCTCTTCCTGCTGGATTCGCTGAGGGGTTTTTAAATGGAAAAAGGGAAAATCGGGAGGGGAAACCCCAGCCCCCGTTGTGGTCAGTGAGAGGAAAAGGAAAATCAAAATTAATTTTGAATTAATGAATTAATTAGAAGTCGTTTTTTTGCTGTGTGTTCGGGAGATTTGGGCAGGTTTCCTTGTGGTCAGTGAGAGGAAAAGGCAAGAAAAGCGGCATTAATTTTGATTAATGAATTAATTAGAGGCTGTTTTTTGCTGTGTGTTCAGGAGATTTGGGCAGGTTTCCTTAAGAAAAGCCCCGGCATGGAAAAATCTCCGGGAATTCCCTTGGGATGCCCACGGAAAGGGCAGCTCTGGGGGCCACAATTCCTGGGAAAGGCGGCTCCCAGCTCCCCACTTTTCATCCCTGGGGGCGGGACAGGCTGAAATCCCGCTTTTCCCTGGGAGATGTGCTCAGCTCCGTCCCCAGGGATCCATTCCTCGGCTCCCCGGGAAAAAACAACGTTTGCAGTTCCATCCCGAACATTTCCCTTTCCCTGGATTTGGCCGCACTCCCTGTCCCTGTTATTGGGGGGGAATTTTCTCCTTGGGATGGAGCGACAGGAGCTGTCCTGGATGTCCCCAGGCTGTCCCTGATGTCCCCAAACTGTCCCTGATGTCCCAGGCTCTGTCCTGGATGTCCCCAAGCTGTCCCTGATGTCCCCAGGCTGTCCTGGATGTCCCAGGCTCTGTTCTGGACGTCCCCAAGCTCTGTCCTGGATGTCCCCAAGCTGTCCTGGATGTCCCCAAACTGTCCTGAATGTCCCCAAACTCTGTCCTGGATGTCCCCAAACTGTCCTGGATGTCCCATCCATGCCGGGTGTCACCAACCCGAGGACACCAAACCCTCAGGATCCCAGAAA